TAACATTCAATATGTATGTATGAATATTTAAGTTTTATTTAGTATTACAAATGTCTCTATACAAAAAGGGGCCATGAGCAGGTTGTGTAGGATTGCTTTTGTTATTATTGTTTTCACTTGATCCGTTTTCGTTAGTAAAAAAAAAACGAAATTTTGTGCCATAATTTCGCAACTGTCAACACAAATGTCATCAACAATATGTCAAGTATTTGATGTTAAATTTCCGTTACAAACAAAAATAAATCATTTGATACTAGAATTTTCATGCAAATTCAAAAGGAAAGTGGAACGTAGAGGGATGAAAAATTTAACAAAATGCAAAAGAAAATTTATCAATTTATTTAAAAAAAACTAAAATCAAAATTTCATTTGGATCCTTAAGATAACTGCGATCTTTAGAAAATTGAAGACGGACAGACAGACACACAGACAGACACACAGACAGACACACAGACAGACACACAGCCAGACACACAGCCAGACAGACAGACAGACAGACAGACAAACAAACAAACAGACAGACAGAAAGACAAACAGTTATAGTTAAGTTTTAAGTACCAAAAATCTCCTTATGAATTCTTATTTTATAAGAACCGTATATGTCATTTGACTCCCCACTATAGAAACTTCTAAAGAGTCCCTCGCCTCTTACAGATTCTTATTCAGTTAAGACCCATTATTCAATGGTACCATTTGAAGGACGAAAAAATGCCAAACACTTCTCTATTAAAGAATCTCATTCAGTGTTTTTTCAATAATCTTGTATTTTGTCTTCATATTATAGAATAGGCAAAAAGTACCATTTGACGAAGGAAAAAGTACCAAAAAGACACTACTGATAGATTCTCATTTAGTCCTGTTGAATTTTATGTTTCTAGTTTTAATATTAAAGAAAAACAAAAAGTCCCTTTTGATGAAATAAATTTCCCCTTTTTAGTACTTTTTTTCTTCCTAAGTTAAATAGCAAATATTTTGTTTCAAAAAATGCTGCTGTGTTAGTCCATAATTAAATAGTACGTAATAAATCTAAAAAGTTTTCTTAATGTCCAAAAAAAAGTACCAAAAATACAGTTTTCTCTCTAAAAAGGACTGAATTTTAAAAAAGTACGAAATATGTGTCTGGTAATTTTGAGAGATATATCAAAAATATTTAAAAAAATCTTAATAATGTTTATTAGTTAAAAAGTTATGAAGGTCCAAAAAAAGTACCAAAATCACCTTTGTTACACATTTTCACTCTTTAAAAGTACGAATTTTGAAAAAGTACCAGACACCCATCGGCTGCTTTTAAGAGTAAATACAGATGTATTTAAAATTTTTCTTGTATTACTAATATTGTGTAAGATAATTAAGAAAACCAGTTTTTACACCTAAATATACAAGTTTCCAAAAATCCCTCCTACTTCTACTGTAAAAATTTCGTGATTCTAAGTTCAGCCGTTTGGGCCGTGCGATAATGAATAAAGAAAAAGTATTTAATAATTTTCTTTAGCAATTTCTTGCATTTTGGGTATTTTCAGTTTATTAATGCTATTCCAGTTGACTTGAGGCCAAAGCTAAAAACTATTAAATATTTCCTCAGTAAATCAAGATTCATAAACACTATGTTTTCTTATAAAATAGCAGCACAACAAGGAATCATTCATTTCATCATTTCTTTTTTCTTTGCTTGAACTGTCAATAAATGTTCTTCTGATTGTTTATTCAAAAGCATATGACAATACTCATGTGTGTGTGTGTGCGAGTGTAAGAATCAGTTATCCTTTACTTTTGCTATATGTGATTCCATCTGAATAAAATGAATGTATGTACCAGACATGGTAGTCATATTCCTTATTGTAACTCTTTTTTTTTTTTGTTCCAGCTACTCCCAGTTTTCAGCATGTGATAAATGGGTATGAGTATTATATACATACGAGTGATTACTGCTGATGTGTAAGTTTGTTTGAAAACCTTGAAGTTCGTGGTAACTGTTACAAACTAATGATTATATCCTTTATTTATGGTCAAAGAAATTAAAGAAAGAAATGGATGGTTTAACAAACCACTTTCTTTGGAAAAATGTTTAAAATAACCCCTTTCTAGATAACTTGGGGACACAAAGGTGACTGTAATGTTTTCACTCTTCATTAGAATAAGTTTTACTCCTTTTAAATGTTTAAGGATATAAAATATTGAGAAAGTTTTGTAAATAAAAATGATACTTTGACTCCTTGTAAACTACTGGGTTATTATACTGTTTTCTTCTTTGGCTTTTTTTCAGCAGTTTTTCTTCATTTCTAAGAATAACAAATGAAAGTAACAACAATAATAATGCAAAATATAAAGGCATAAGTATAAATTATTTATAAAGTAAGGACCATCAGTGATTTCTGTTTTAATTTTTTTTTTTTTTTTTTTTTTTGTGAATCTCTGATACTTTTCTACTTGACTGAAAAAGGGATTGTAATAACAAGAACAAAATTTAAGTTCAAAGTTAAATTGGCAAGAAATTCTTGGAAGTTATGTATATGTTAAGAGGAATTTATTGTTATCCCGTTAGGTGTTTACTTTACCCCCAAATGTTTGGGAAAAATCAACAATTGGTTTTGAGAAATATTGAGAGTTTATTATACTGGAAATCAATTGTTTATGGAATCGAAAGTATGACGTCAGTAAGGAGTAATTTAAAGAATAAATCAAAGAATGTAGTTATTTTTCAGAGGTTTTCTCAGATTTTTACTCATATCTCAAGTATTTATTGCAATACCAATACACCAAGATGAGGTGATGATCAAATGTATCCTCTGCCTTTCCTTGGAATGATTTGACATGTGCTCGAACCAGAGAACCACATAGTCTGGTACTATGGGTGGCTAGTTACCCCCAGAACTTTGTCCTGGCTGGTCAGTTTGTTGAGGTTGAGGAATTCATGTAGTGGCTGTGGTTTAAACCCAAATTCGCGGTAAGAGAATTGTCGGTTCAAGAACTGATGCACGGTGAAATCTATAATTCGGGATATGTTCGGTGCTGTTGCCGAAGTCAACAGATACCCCACAGAGGAATTACTGTGAGACTAAGCATTGGAAATGAGTTAGTGTCAAGTGTATATGATACAGGATGAATCTAACACCCGTATACCCGTAAGAAGGTATACCATTGAATTTTCCTTCCATGTCCAAGTATGTTCAGGGAAAACTCTGTTCATACTAGATTTACCACAGTGTTTTCTCTGTAAGTAAGAACAAAGTCCCCGGCTTATTTGATGGGTTCGTGTTTCGGTATACCCAATACGTCTCTACGCAACAGAGGCCACCCCATCTGCGTGGTTATAAATTGAAGTGATGTTTTTACATCTCGGAAGTTAAGCACAGTGGCAGGAATGTTCAAAGATTAGTTAGTTCAAGTACTTGAGCAAAGTGCTTGTACATGGACCGGTACAAAAATTGCCAGCCGGGTGTAAAATACATAAAGAGGCGTTTGTGCGTCGTCACAAAGCACACCCAGTGGGTGAAAAAACAAGGCCAATACGGCAGGTGTTCACGTAAATCACTTCAACATTCATACACACAGAAAGACGGACAGAGGGATATGGCTAAATCGACTCAGAATATATATACTGCATAGGGTCGGAAAATTATATCGTACCCTTCTCGCGAAAGTGAAGATATAAAAATAATTTTTTTGTCAAAACTAAGTAGAGGCACTGGACGTATCCTATTTAGATAAATTTTTTTCTCAAAAACAAAATTACTTAGCTCGTTATTTGCAGCTGATCGTAGTAAGAACTTAAATAACTCCCTACTTGTAAGCGAACGTAATAAGTACTTGCCTCCAATGTCATTACCGTGTTAAAATAATGTCTTAAAATGCTATTAGGTAAGTAAATTATAATATTTTAACCCCTTAATGGGTATTAACAGAAAGACAAAGAAACAAACTAAATATCAGCTGTTTAAATCCTCTTAATCGAAATAATTTCATATTGTAGCTATCTACTTTAAAAACCAACTTCTATGAATCCGTGACTATAACTTTATGACGCTTTAACATTAACGTTATTATACCCTTAAAAAAAAAAAAACTTCCTAAATTAGTCGACTTAATTCAATTGTCCCTTAACAAAATCCACTTAAATACTTAAATCTAACAAATTTGTTTAAACCATCATTAAATTCACATTTGAGGGAAATTAAATTTCACAAACTCATACACATTAATAGTTTTAATAATCATAATCTCTTTAAGGCATAAAAAACAGATTACACAAGAAAAGATGAAGGGAAAAGAATCAAATGACAAAGTATAACCAAAAATTTAACAATACTTGTCACTTGCAACGTTCTTCCTGACGTCTTTGAGCACATAATTTAAAATATAAAATCTTCATTATCCTAAGTCATTGTACAATGTACATATACAACTTTCATCTCTACAACATTAATTTTCCCATAAACATACAAATTTTAGGAAAAGCAAGTGGGCTACCAGGAGGAACACATAGCAAGAGGAAAACAAAATAAAAGAATTATTGATTTGCAACATTTGTCAGTGACATGTCAAGTTTTTTTTTACCATTTTATTTCTTTTTGCAGGAAAATCACAATAATTTATGTATGTATGTATGTAAGTGTACGAAGAATTCTGAGTAACTGTATGTGTGAATGAATACTCGTACTCCTTATGAATTAGTATTGTGCCAAGCACAGATAGATAGAAAGGCAATAAAAAGCACGACTTTTCATTTTTTTCGTTTCGTTCTTATACTCCTTCAAATCCCTCTAGGAGTCATATAAAATCGAAAAATGAACTAACTAAAAAAAATAATAAAACATACGTACGTAAGTGCTTGAAACCTGACGAAGATTTAAAAAGGTAACGAATGATTTTCTACGTATTATTTGGGCCATAAATTAAACTTTCAACATGATTTACGGAAATTAATATAAGAACAAGAGTACATAAATGACTGACTACTTAACAAATATGTACATATCTACACAAACGTATGTAATACTTACAATAAAAATCCATTGAAAACTATGTGCTCGGTGAGTCTCCCTCTCCTATGGGTGATGCTATATTGCTATCGGATGTTGAGAGTGGTCGACAGATGCCCAACTTGGTGAGGCCCAGTGGCATACCTTTCAATATGGCCACTGCCTCGTCGAGATCCAGGCCCTGCAGTGAATGTTCTCCAACGCTAACCAAACGATCGCCGGGAAATATTTCGTTGGTGGTCTCGGCCGAACCTCCCCGTATTAGACCTCGTATTACTATAACACTGCCCTCGGGATCTAAGGGATCTTGATAGTCTAGTATCGAGAAACCAAAACCCTGTTCGGTCTTTTCAATTTCGACAATGGTTACATCGGAACTCCAAAGAGCCAGGCCAGATACATTTTCCAATGACTTCGAACGTTGTTGATCCGTCAGAGTGGCAGTGCTAGAGGTATACAAAGAACTTTCCGACTGGGCTTTGGTCATCAAGTTTTGTAAACTTTGATGACCGCCGGGCAGAAGACTTCTCGTTTCAAAGGCCTCGGGATTTTGGGAAGTATTTATAATAGACGGCGCCGTAGCACCGCGTACACATACCAATTTGACATGTGAAGGCAGTTCTTTGAGAATTTTAACCACTTCGGTGTGTCGGAGACCCTGAAGTTTGTATTCGTTGACCTGCAGCAGCTCATCGCCGGGTTTTAAGATGCCCTGACGTCCCACCGGTCCGTCTTCCAGTATCGAGCGTATATAATGATGGGGTCGCTTCTCAATGCCACGCTCTACATCCACGGTGCCTTCTAGGCTGATTCCTAGACCTGAAAGTTTATTTATTTCGGCTACTATAATTTCACTGTCGGGAAACTCACTTTTCCAGGCGACTTTTAAAGCCTCCACACTTGGACACGTTTGTTCGGCATTCGACGCACTTGTTTGAGAAACCGAATTCGCCAACAGGTCAGTGCTTAGTTTCAGTGGTCCCACGGGTATCAGTTCAGTATACTGTTTGCCCAGCAAGTCGGTAAAGTTATCTATGGTGGGTGTTCGCGAACCCAGCGAACCATTAACAGGTTTCTCTTTAGTCTCTGGCGTTTTTGCCACGTCTTTTGCATGACATGTCGTGCCATTAGCCAACGTAACAGGTTTGGCTTCAGGAGTAGTTGTTGGTGATTTGGAAGTTTCTACTGGCGGCACACTACTGTGATCACTTTTATCCAGTACATGAGACATTTGCGAATCCACTGTTTCTCTTGAGGGTAAATCACCAAATTCCATTATAACAGCACCACCATCAGTGGCTATTGAGTCGCCATCAGACCTGGGTGGCAGCCATGATAGAGTAGCTATTGACGGTGAGGGGGGTAGTGAAACCTGTGACTGTGAGTCCACAGCTATTTTCAATTCCGTTAAGGCTACTTGCAAGTGCTCAAATTTGCGTCCTCTTAGGAAACGTTCCAGTGTAAGATGCACTTCAATATCCGTATTACGTAGTATCTCCACGGCCTGATGATTGGTTACACCACTTAATGTCTTGCCATCCACCTTAACTATGCGATCATTGATTTGTATCTGGCCACTCATTTCGGCTGCACTACCCTCTATGATACTCTTAACAAATATGCCCGACAGATCTTCCTCTTCACACACATAACCCGCCACCGTTATGCCTAGGCCATAGACATTTTTTCTTAGTTTAACTTCGTATGTTTCAGTTTCGGGTGAATCCAAGTAATTGGAGGAGGTAATCGAACAACAGTCATCGTCGTTATCATCGTTCGATAAAGTGCCAGTAGTTTGAGTAGTAGTTATACCAGCTATCACAGTCTCTATATGGTCCATTTGATGGGGTGTACTAACGCTAGTTTTCATTATTGCGGCTGCCGATGTGGGAGGTTGAGGCAAAGGCGGTGATACTATGGAAAATGGTACTATGTCCAAATCTTTGGGATAGTTGCGTTGGGTAGCCGCCGATGTGGTCAATTCTTTGGGTATTGGAGGCAGTGGTAAATCTGCCAATTCGGTATCGGGTGTGGGAGGGAAATTAAGATTCAATGTAAGGGGTTGTTGTTGCTGCTGTAAGGAATCATGACTAGACGACTCTTTATGGCCTAGAGAGGAGGAGGAGCAGAAATTTGCAGATAATCCACTGCCGCCGCCACCACCAATACCACTAATACTGACACTGCCACAAACACCAGTCGCCGCCGTTACCTCTTCCGTATTACTTTGATGAAATAGATGCCGCGTCAATTCTTCTGGGTCGGAGAGGAGCTTAGTTGGAATAATTGGTGCATGACTAGCTAATTGATGTTGGAAATCGGTGGCTGTTGACTCCACCGGTCTTGCTACAATCAAACGAACCTGAGCTCCAGTCTGACGAAGAACCGTGGCCACCTGTTCGGAACTAAAACCACGCAAATTCACCTCACCAATTTGAAGTACATGATCGCCGCATTGCAAGCGACCATCACGCTCCGCTACACCGCCGGGCGTTAGGGCCTTAATAACCACACCGGTACTACGGCCGCCCACCAAAATAAAACCCAAACCGTTGCCATCGTTAATCAAATCAATAACTTCTACCTGAGACCATTCGGTACTTAAAACCATATTGACATAGAGAGGTTCTTCAGGTTGGGCTGGCGTAAGGTATTGAATTCGTTGTTTTTGCTGTTGCTGTTTGGAGTGATAGAGATGATGGTGCTGTTGCTGTTGTTGCTGCTGCTGCTGTGTTTGATAATGTTGTTTTTGCTGCTGCTGCTGCTGATACTTAGTATGTTGTGGACATGTAGAAACATGACGTGAACAAACCAGGGAAGTGGCTGATGTCGTTTCAAATGTTGGAAATGTTTTCGTTAGATTTTTTGTGATTAAATTTTTAGAAGTTTGTTTAAATTTATAGTCCTGGTGATGTTGATGTAGATGCTGATGATGATAATGTTGATGTGTTTGTTGTTGTTGTTGCTGTTTATCCTTTGTTTGCGGTTGTTGTTGTTTTATTGTACGTCATATATTTGCTTCCCTGGTTGTGGATTCGTTTTCTGTGCAGTTTGTTGTTGTTGTTGAGTTTTCCACAACTTCGTGTTGTTGGTTTTCCGTTTCCTTATGATTTTCACAAATATGTTTGCTACTGCTGCTGCTGTTGTTGTTAGTTACATCTGTTGTTGCTGCTACTGTTTGTAGATATTCAACAGACATAGTATTTTGTTATTCGTACGTTTCGCGTTTCTTTTTTTTTCGTTTTTTTTTTTTCAAGTTTTTCTTCCCGATTTTTTTTCGTTTTAAAATCGCGCTAATTTGACACGCCCTTTAATACACAAGTTCATTATGTCGTTTACCGTTACTACCGCATTTTTTTTCTTGTGAGTTTGGTTTTTTTTTATTCATGATTTGCTTTTAACAAGCACGTTTGGAAAAACTCATTTAACCGTTATTTCTTTTATTTATTTTTTTTTTTTTTTTCTTAATTTTTCAAGATTATAAAACAGCCATTTAGATTTAAGCTTTAATATTGCACGTTTTTTAATATTTTAAATTGAGTTACATATTTTTTGTTTGAAATTATTTTTTGGCCAAAAATCACGTTTTTCTAGTGGGTTCAAGTTTTGTTACAAGCAGGTTGTAAGAAATTCCTAAGAATTTTTTGATTTTGTTTGTTTATGGTTTTGCGGTTTATTTTTCCTTTAAAAGGTTGTACTTGTTAATGTTGTTCTTGTTCTTGTTGTTGCTGTTTGGTTTAATATTGTGTTTTCTTACGTTGACACAAATGTTGTTAACTCTTACCGTTACACATCCTGTTAGTGCGAGTACCCTTCCCTCGACTCCTTATGCTTTATTCTACACGTACTCCGCTCTATTTACATTAAATAATACATGTTTTTACTCATACTCGCTCTTTCTCTCTGTAGCTTTAACTCTCTTTTTTTCTAAGGATTAGCATGTGTGTAACGGTTTATATGAGTTTATGTAAATGTCTTTAGGTGTGTGAGAGAGTGTGTATTTTACAGTTAAGCTTTATGTAAATGTGTTTGTTTCAAACATTAATTAGTTTTGTGGCATGATTATAGAATTTTTCAACATTCCTTTTCTTTTTTCTTAAAGTTTTTCCTTCAACTTAAAGGCAACAACAATGGCGGCTTGTTTGTAGGTCTATATGTCATTGGCACCATTTTACAGGGGAGTGCGGGGAGTAGGGGGTTTTCTTATTCTCACATATTAATGTGGCAAATTGTCAATGATGTCGTTAACAATATGGTTGGTTGCCGATATAAACAAACGTTGATTATTAACAATAATGATGTTAATTTCTTGGTGTTGCTGTTGTCACTGCTAGATAATGATAATGTTGTTGTTATTGTGGTAGTATTTGTTGTTGTTGTTGTATCTAAAGTATCTAAATAATTTGTTAAACGGATGTCAGTCAAACTTTGTCAAGGGGACAACAACCAAGTTTTTCAAATATTTTTGTTTCTGGCGCTTGTTTATGTGTGTGACAAGCTTAAGTTGTATTTGAAATATTTGTCTCCTGTTCTGCCTGTACTTCAGCCTCTACTTTAGCCAAATACATTAATATGGCCAACATGTTTTGCCAATTTTAGTTTTTTTTGTTGCCTTTTTCTCTACCAACAAGTTATCAAATTTATTTCCAAATAATATTAGTAAATATAATGTGTTTTTTCCTCTTGGCTTTTTCTAGGCTAATGTTTAGGCCAGCTGTTCAATATTTAACACACACTGATACAAACAAACGGTTTTTTTTTTCCTTTTTGGCTATACATTACACAAGTGAAAGTATTCCTTCTATCCATAGGACTAATAACTTTGGCTGTTTAACTTTATGGCTCGTTAAATTCCTTTTAATAACAAAAGCAACCAACAACAGGAGTAATGTATAAGTGGGTGGGGTTTTAACTTGTTTTTAATAACAAATAAATTGTTTAATAAATATCTTATTTATTTGTTAATTTTCAGTTAATTAGTTGAAGAATACTAGAGAAAAAATCAGGCCATTTTCTTAACCACGCACAATATCAAACATTTACCTTTGACCTCATAAAAATATATGTATGTATATATACATATTTATATATATATTTATATACATGCAACACAATGGAAAAAAATTTACAAAATTACAAAGGGTGTGTATTTAAATATACTCTAAAAAAAATGCCAACAACTTTTTAGCTTTTAACGCTTTAATTAAAATTTTCACTTTTTCAAACTTTTTAAGACTTAAATTATTGATTAAATACTTTGTAAACACTTTATTCTTTAAATTTTTGGCTTTTTGTAATAATTAATTAACGAAATTTTTCATTTAAATTTTCTTTAATTATTTTCCTGCTGGCTTTTTTTCAAATAAATTTTCTTTTGTTTTCACTTTAGGTATTTATATTAATTAACATACACACACAATTTTTTTAAATTAATTACGCGCGCTTTAAATATTTTTAGTTTTTGCTTTAATATTTATATTTTGTGTTTATTTTTTATTACAACTTTAAGTTGCCTCGATTATTATCGGCCAACGTTAACGAAAAATATTCCAACACCCGCACGTTTCAAAGTCTCTTAACCGTTTAAATTGCTGGTTGGTCGTTTGTATAATTTTTCTAATGTGGTCGTGCCATTAAGCCATAAATGTAACGGTATTTCCTTATTTTACATGCACTCTCTCTCTCTTACTCAATTTCTTCAACTTTCTCTCTTCCTCTCGTATAAAAAATGAGTCGTAGTCTTTATTGTTTTTGTAACTCTGTTGCTTTTCGTTGGATAGTTTATGCGCAAAATCCTGTTGTGTCAGGTTTTTGCTTGCTCGTTTATTGTTTGTTTTTCTTTTTGTTTTGGGTTTATTTACCCATGAAGTTGGCTGCAGTTTATTTGTTATTTTATTGTTTATATCCAAATAGTGATAGTAAAAGCTTTTCCATAGGTGGATAAAGAAAGAAAGCTTTTAATAGTAAAAGCTCTGAGATGTTAAAAAAAATGCATGCACATGTTTTTTAACAGGTAATTTTTGTGAATGAGTGGGTGGATTAGCAGGTGAATAAATGTTCCGCTGCTGCCATCATTTGTATCAAACTTCGCTTAAAACATATTCACTTTTTCCAGTGTGAATGATCCGATCTAAGTAATTCCAATAACCTTTAGCTGAATGTGAAGTTTTTATACTAATAAAGTGTCGGAACTTTTAACTTCTAATGCTCGGTCTTTCCTTGGAATGATTTCACATGGGGTCGAACGATGAAAACGCATAATCTAGTACCATGGGAACCAATAGCCCACAGGGCAGAGTTTCGGACTTTGTCCTGTCCCGGTTATAAGGGAGGTTTCTTCGGGGTGCACTTGGTAGGTGTGGTTTAAACACAAACTCGCTGGAAGAGAATGTTGGTTAAACGAGTAATGTCGATAATTCTGGAAAAGTTCGGTTCGGTGCCGAGGCAACAGATACCCCGCAGAGGAGGAACTGTGGGACTTAGCATTGGAAATGAGTTGGTGTCAAGTGTATATGATACGGCATGGAATTAGGGGTATGCGGACCTCACTCATCCGTATACCTAGAGTGAGTATGTCTGATGGTTTTCTCAATGAGTGTGTCGGATGACCCAGAAGTATGCTGGGTTGAATGGTAAGGTTGTATCTTATACAAGTGATAGCATTTAATTTTCCTTCCCCGGTTATATTCAGGGTTTAATTTGCACATACCAGATTTATCACAGTGTGTTCTCTGTGAATAAGAAAAAGTCCACGACTTATTTGATGGATTAATGTTTCGGTCTACTAGTTACAACTCTGGGTGCTGATGTCGCTCATAAAAAACTAAAAGTACTAATCATAGAACGAAAAAGTACCAAAATACAAGGTCCTCAAAGCGCTAACCGGCAGCACTTGGGATATGGATAAAGAAACCTTGTTAGCTACATATAAAACGATTGGTCGGTCAGTGGAGAAACATTCAAAGTTGCCAATATGCCGCCCTAAGGACTGCAACGGCCTGCTTACAAATTAGCTAGGAACATCATCTGCAGGAGGAAACGAAGGTCCTACGTGTCAAGGAACATAATGTCATGTTAACTAAACAGTTCCTTCTGGGATATCATCGGAGGAGTCATCCCAACTTTAACATCACACAGTTGGATACTCCCCTGCGGCATGTCAGGAATGATCTTTGTATATAAGAGGAGAACATAGGCAGATATGTGCAGGATCCATTAGATCAGTCCTCGACATGATCAACGCCATCAATTCCGCGGTCGCAGGATACCCCATAAATGTAGTAGTTGAAGGTCGCTCACAGCTCATAGCAGACACAGAAGAAAACCTTATGCGGTAAACAAAAGCTTAATGATCACGCATAGACTGTGCCGTCCCCAGCGAATGTCCGGCATGTGATCAAGGTCCTCATAACACCCACCATATATTCAACTGCTCAGCCAAGCCTACTTCACTTTGTCCAATGCATTCATTTATGGACACATCTAGTTGAAGTAGCACAATTTTAATGCCTGAACATTGATGTAGAACCCCCCAACTAGGTTATTGTATAGTTTTACGCTTGTATTTATAAAAAAATCTTATTTTGCTTTTAATGCACCCAATAGTTAAAGCACACTTTAGCCTTAAAAACCATTAATAAAATTGTGATATTCATAAACAAATAATAAACGTATATTAACTATTGTGCTGATTTATGTTTAAGTTGGCAGCACTGTACAATATGGCTGTCATTTTATGTGTTAGTGTTGCGTACAATTAGGATAAAATATTCGTTGATTCGGTTTTCTTAATTTCATATTTTTGTTTATAATAGATTTTTGACAATAAAAACAAACTTTTAAGAAAAATAAATATATATATGGCTTTAATAAATGTCTATTTAGTTCAGATGTATAAATATAACATATAATTTCTAATTATTATTAAAAGTATCCGAATAACGGATATTTTGCGACAAAATATACATCACTATGACACATTTTCTTATTTTTACTTATTTTCCTTGTAATTTTTGATAAATTTTTGCAAATATTGATAAATTTCTTTGATATTTGACTAATTCTAATGCCGGCGAATATTAGTATTAGTATAACACTAATCAATATAATTTACATGGTTAATTGCTTTATGGCATTATATTTAACCAACAAACTTTGAAAAAGCCAAATCAAGTGATTTTGTCCATCATTTGGTTGACAGACGCACAGTGGTATAGGAAAAAAAAAAGAGGGAAATAATTCGGTAACTTCTAAACGGTTAATCCGATTTTAATGAAATTTGGTGTGCACAAAGAGGAGGTGTTGTCGAGTTTAGGTTTTGAATTTGGACCTTATAGGCCAACCAGGGGCCCGGCGGGGGGTCATCAAATTAGGACACCTCGGCTATGTTAAATTTTTAAAACGATCCTATTTCTTCATTTGAGTTCCGATTTAAAAAAAATTTCGTATATAGAATCTCCTCATCGAGCACTATAAAAAATGTCGTCGTAGCAGTAAATTATCTCTTATAGTTTAGGAGATATTTTTTTATTTGCTTAACAACAAGTTTATATACCAAGCAGTGAAAGAATTATGTAAAAATCATGACTGAGTCCAAAGTTATAGGCATTTAAATTTAAAAAATTAAAAAAAGGCGATTTTTTGTCATTTTTTTGGGAAAAAAGTATCTTTTTCTTTTTAAGTTATCTAAAAAGTTTCTAAGAAGATGTATATAGAATTTATACTTTTTGGAAAGCTGACTTTACATAAAATACGATAAATGAAACAAAACCTAAAAATTTTTGATACCGAGGGGACCAGGTCCATCCAAAAAAACCCTATTTTTTATGGAAAATTAAATTTTGAGCAAAAATTCTCAAATCGCATAGTCGATATCAAATTATAGTGACCTGTTTTATATGACCCAATATGTTCTTAATCATTTTGTAACGGGTTTCGATAACCCCGCCCCTGGTATGGATATAATAGGCAAAAAACTAAAAAATCCCATTTTTGGGATTTTTTAAAACTTTTTTGGGAATTCCGGGATTTCTAATAAGAAAATTCGAAATTTTGATTTAATTTTGGATTTTAAGTAAAAAAATCTACCTAACTGTAAAATTTCATCAAAAAATATTCATAAATAAAATTTTTATTGCAATTTGAAAAATTTGTATCTTCGCAAAAACTGAATAAAAAACATTTTTTAATTTTTTTTAAAAAAAGTATTCCGCGAATTTTTTAATTTTCAAAAATTATATACAGTTTTGAAAAATAGACAAAATTACCTTTCCATTGATATATAACATGCCTACCTAATGTTTTTTAAGTGACAAATTAATTAGGGAAAACTCAACATCTTTTAGAAAATTTGCCTAGCACTATTATTTTCATCCATAAGGTTAACTCTTAAATTTGTTACATATATGGATGAAAATAATAGTGCTAGGTAAATTTTCTAAAAGATGTTGAGTTTTCCCTAATTAATTTGTCACTTAAAAAACATTAGGTAGGCATGTTATATATCAATGGAAAGGTAATTTTGTCTATTTTTCAAAACTGTATATAATTTTTGAAAATTAAAAAATTCGCGGAATACTTTTTTTAAAAAAAATTAAAAAATGTTTTTTATTCAGTTTTTGCGAAGATACAAATTTTTCAAATTGCATTAAAAATTTTATTTATGAATATTTTTTGATGAAATTTTACAGTTAGGTAGATTTTTTTACTCAAAATCCAAAATTAAATAAAAATTTCGAATTTTCTTATTAGAAATCCCGGAATTCCCAAAAAAGTTTTAAAAAATCCCAAAAATGGGATTTTTTGGTTTTTTGCCTATTATATCCATACCAGGGGCGGGGTTATCGAAACCCGTTACAAAATGATTAAGAACTTATTGGGTCATATAAAACAGGTCACTATAATTTGATATCGACTATGCGATTTGAGAATTTTTGCTCAAAATTTAATTTTCCATAAAAAATAGGGTTTTTTTGGATGGACCTGGTCCCCTCGGTATCAAAAATTTTTAGGTTTTGTTTCATTTATCGTATTTTATGTAAAGTCAGCTTTCCAAAAAGTATAAATTCTATATACATCTTCTTAGAAACTTTTTAGATAACTTAAAAAGAAAAAGATACTTTTTTCCCAAAAAAATGACAAAAAATCGCCTTTTTTTAATTTTTTAAATTTAAATGCCTATAACTTTGGACTCAGTCATGATTTTTACATAATTCTTTCACTGCTTGGTATATAAACTTGTTGTTAAGCAAATAAAAAAAAATGGCGAAAATCGGAAATATTTGGACCTGCTATTATCAAAAAAACTAAAGTAAGGACGGTAAAAATTTTAAAATTTTAATATTCAAATGCGAATATCTCCTAAACTATAAGAGATAATTTACTGCTACGACGACATTTTTTATAGTGCTCGATGAGGAGATTCTATATACGAAATTTTTTTTAAATCGGAACTCAAATGAAGAAATAGGATCGTTTTAAAAATTTAACATAGCCGAGGTGTCCTAATTTGAGGACCCCCCGCCGGGCCCCTGGTTGGCCTATAAGGTCCAAATTCAAAACCTAAATTCGATAACACCTCCTCTTTGTGCATACCAAATTTCATTAAAATCGGATTAACCGTTTAGAAGTTACCGAATTATTTCCCTCTTTTTTTTTTCCTATACCACTGTGAGACGGGCATTTCCAAATTACCTAAAAATAGAGCTGGACAATTGGAATATTGTCAAATATTCCAATAATGCCTAGATTTGAGTTTTTTCCTCAAAATATAATCGTTTAAAAATTTTCTGGGATTTTATTTACAAATTTGTAAACGTTAAAATTAGAATTTTTAGATTTTATTTTAAAAGAAACCATAATTAGTTTTCGCAATCAACCTAAAATTACCGGAAAATTCTTTATCTGAGAAAAAAATTGTTAAAAATCAACTTATTGTTGGCTTAAAGAAGGGTCGAGCCTACAATAAAATTCTTCTAATTGTCAATGGTTTATTGAAGGTGTTTTAAGCTATTTCACGTTTATAAATACGATTTCCCTGAATTTTGCTTAAAATTGTTTAATAAACCTAAAATACATAAGTTTTTATAAATACATCCGTTAGCTTTTACAACAAAAACAACAAAATTACCCGTGTGTTGCTGTCAAAAATCTCAAAAATTGCGTTCAACAAACATACAGTTTTTACTTTCACTTCTTCTCCTGCTAAAATCAGTTTGTCGCCAAATAGAATCCTTAAAAATATCATTAGCGAATGATTTATAGATAAATAGCGAATCCTCTATAACATTCTGTAGAGTTTTCAGTCCACATTTAATAAATACGAATCTTTTTTCAATCACTCTAGTGGTTGAGTATTTCTTATATATAAGTTAAAGTTTCAAATGAATAATAAGTATAGTTGTTATTTCAAATTATTCAAGAATCGGTCCATAAAAAAGTAGAGTCCAAAAACTACATTAAATATATTTCCCAAAGCTGCATAGAGTGGAGTTTAAATGAGTTTTTTTAATTAATTATTTTTTAGTTAGCTACATTTAAATGCGAAACAAAAAAAGAAACAAAAACGTATCTAAATTTAAAACTTCCAACAGATAAAAGCAACAACAGTTGGTTTGTTTATATCTACAGTATTTATGGTGTATTGAACAAACAAGATCGTGTGCATTATTATTATTTTTAGATAGTGGTGTCTTGTAACACCTGTTTGCATTTAAAAGTAAAAGATAAAAAACCAATAAATTTTGCAATATTACTTTAAAAACTTGTAGCAAATTAATTTTGCCAATTTATAGGAGGCTCAATGGTCTAGGGGTATGATTCTCGCTTTGGGTGCGAGAGGTCCCGGGTTCAAATCCCGGTTGAGCCCGGTAATCTTTTTTAATTTATTTTATTTTTTTAATTATTCTATTCCATCATAATAGACTCAATTCTATCATTTTATGATTATCATAATAGATTTTCAATATTGAATAATTCGATAATTCTTTAGAAGATAACAATAGGACTTATTAGAAAGTATTCATTCTCACAAACTTTACTTTTTAACAAATAATAATACAATTTATTCAATAGACATGTGATTTTTCTTCTTGTATAATGTCATCTTTTTTTAAATACCTTTCCGCCCCAATTGACAATTAATAAGAAATAAAACATGCACATGAATAATATGAATGAATGAATTAATATCATACACCTGGATAAAGAAAAATAAACAATCGTAGGTGGTCAAATGATTGACATATCTTTTGAAGCGTTAATTTTATATCAAACCAAGATGTTACACACTCACACCCGTTACTAAGGTGATAAGGACAATAACAACAAATAGCACAACAAGGAGAGAAAAGGAATCAAGGCGCATTTAATAAGGTGAAGCCTTTTTTTTGTTCGTGAAAATGTATCCTGAAACTGTCAAAAAATAAATTTCTTATAAACGACGCTCTCAAACTCCTTATATACAAATATAACAAATTAACGCCAAAATTAAATGGTTTTACCTCATAATCGATACGCCTTGG